AATATAATATCATATGATTAATTTAATTGATTATATTATTTTGAATGCAATGTAATTTGATTGTATAGAGTAGTATTAATGATTATAAATTAAATTAATTTTTTATTTGTTTTTATAAAAATAAAAGTTATAATAAACATAAATATGATTAAATCTAGTAACTATAAAACTATAACTGTGTAGTATACTTATAAGCATAATATTACATTGTTTTTAATTGTTTCATAATAAATAAAAAGAGAAATATTTATTTTGTCAAATTAAAATTAATCAAAACAGTGTTGTAACATAAATATTTATTATGTTATTTGAAATGTTTGTAGTATGACAAAATATAAAAACTATAGTAATTGAATAGATTCACCTAGTAGTAAATAATTATTGGAAAATCTTAAGTACCTTATAAAGTAATTTCAATGTCGAAGACAATGTTGTTGGGCCATTTTAAACTAAATGAAAAATAACATTATATGTTATTGAATTACTTATCTACCTAAAATAAGAAAACTATTTTGTTTTAATAAGATTATTTAAGTTTGTAAAAAGTAATAATAACAATATAAAAAAAAATATATAATACAATTCGTATAGGATAAATATTATTATTATTCGGATTTTGTTAATATATTATTTTATTTAGTATTTTATAAGGTTAATCTAACTTAATCTAACCTAACCTATTATAAATATACCTTTATGTTAAGACTTTTAAAGATTTTGAGAGTTTCTTCTATGATACGTTAAAAATATATATATATATATATATTGCTATATAAAAATGTAATATTGCAATATTAATTTAGTAAAACTGGGCTATTAAATTTATCAGTCGTGTGATTTAAACTGGTATTTGTAATCAGCTTATTGAATGGAATCTTTTATCTTGATCATTTGTTTTGTATTTAAAATTGAAAAACAAATTTATTATTACTTTTTATGATTGAACAATTATAAGTAAATAATTATCAGATCTGTTTTTGTCGTCATACTCAATGTAAGTGGACTACCCAAAATAGTTGACTATAGATGGTACACATAATTTAGGTTTTCCGTCTATATAATACAATCATGATATAAAATTTTTGATATAATTATAATAAAAGTTAACTATAGAGTGTTTTGTTTATTAATAAAAAAATAAATATTTTTATTAAAACTAATCATAACACCATACAGGACTTATTGACGATATAGATTGAGTTATGAAATCAATAATATCAAAATTATGTTTTTTAAATTCAATCAAAGCAATATCACACCGTTAAAAAACTTTTTGAATATCATGAAAATTAGACAACTAGAAGCTAATTAATTTTTGATTGTCATAATGATCTCTTAAAATAATCCTTTGTATTGGTTGAAACTTTATGGTCAACAATTTGCAATCGACAACAGTTTTTCTCGCATCTAGTGATTACATTATGTCTAGGTAAACATTTTAGCAAATGGAAATAATTATTGTCATTTATGATTATAATGAAATAGGATCGGGAAATACTTTTGTTAATACAGTTTGATGCAGTATGACAATTTGAAAATAATAAGATCCATTTTTATAAAAACCACATGAAAACTATGTATGACAATTTTTGTACCTCTAGCGATATATGTTATAGTTATATCGTAATACGATTTTAAACGTATTGTATTTCTGTAAAATGAAATATGACAAGTTACTTTTTCTATAAATAAGGAACTTAAAATATATCATAGTAAACATACAAAATATATTGGTACAATGTTAATCTTCTAAATTAGTTAAACATGATAATTGAAAAACTTCAGTTTAATTCTACTATTTGATAAATTACGTCGATGTCATAGAATTAATCGTTATAAATACATAGTCTATCAAGAGAATTTCATACTAACTTGATATTTTTGAAATTCTAAATTAAAAAAAAAATCCTTTTTATAAAACAGAGTAATTTAAAAAAAAAAAATGTCTTCTTATGTTTATCCCAGTAGTCAACTTTGTCATAAATCTTATCATAATTCACTGTCTCATAGTGTTTCCTGATACACTTTTTTCTTTTTAAGCTACATATATATAGTTTTTAAGATTAAGTGGCAATCGTGCCAAGTTTGTAGAACAATTTCCGATTTAGGACAGATGTTATAATTATTTTTTTTCTATCATAACTACTAAACTATTCATGAAAAATTCTAAAACATGATATATAAAACATTTGAATCGTTTTTATAAACTCGTAGACTTGTAAAAAAGAAGAGACATGAACATGTGTATACCGTTTTACTTCTTCGTAAGTATCAGTGAATAACTGTAATGGATTAACTAAATTTGAATTCAATGATATATCATTGAATACTAAAAACGATTTTAAGCGGAAACTTTTTGGTATGTTTATTGTTATTGCAACTAGAGAAATTTATTTTAATATTGGAACTATGGTAGGTTAATGTAATTTTTTCGAAAACATTGCGTTATTTTATTATATTATAAGTATTCAATTATTATAATAATATAATATACTTATACCATATTGTATTATTGTAATTACATTTTGAGTTAATATCACCGTAAAAATTTGTTAAAAGGTAGATTATGGTGTATGTTATTATAAACAGGTAGTTAACTTAACTTTCAAATTAATCTACATACTGAGATTTTTTAAAAAAAAAAACTAAAAAAGTTGAAAATTTCTCTAAATAGTTTAAAAAGAGTCAAAATATTTTGAATATTTTACCTTGTTTAAATAAATATAAAGTACAATTTCAAGTATCTAATGATAAATTTTTGTAATTACAACAAAATAAAAAAAAGCTGTTTTAGGAGGAACAATTTTATTATTTAACGGATAAATATTGAATGGTGTACAAATTTCAGCTTCAAATACTCATAAAAATGTATATATAACAAAAACTATCATCAGTTATGCTCATCAATGTATCAATATATGTAAACATTTTTTTAGTTAAAGCTAAATCAAGTTTTAAATTCGAGTGATGTACAGTTCTATTTCAATTTATAATAAGTATATTTTGTACACTCAGAATAAAATACCCCAAGAGACTATTGTGCTTTTTCTCAATCCAATAAGTGGTTGTTCGGCTGTAAAAAATTTTATTTGAACGATGTAATTCAGCTCACTTGCTGTTTATATACCGTTATAATTCGTATTCAGAAAGCAGTCATCCTGATAAATGAAGTCAAAACTTAAATATTATAGGGAGTTTCAAACAATGCCCTCTTGGCAGTGTATCACCAATCATTATAAGTATATTAAAAAATATTGGGTAAATCATGCTTATTTTTAAGTAGACAGTTATGTAAATAAATTAAGCTGGTCTAAAACATCGTTCATCAACATTTGAAACCACCTACTGTATTTCAAACGGCACGTTAGCCAGGGAGATAACTTCATAAAATCTACGCGAGAACAATCTTGTTAGCAATTGGATTTACTGAACTTCGTATCCCTAATCGGGTTTAGACACGGTATCATTGATTATCATGATTTCATACCATCGGTAGAGTCGCACTAGTAAAATGGTACAGTTTTTGATTAACATCGATTCCCGGGTATTCGGTCGGAATAACTGGGACGGGAATGATGGGATTAAAATATTTTTCGTTTGACTGGCATAGTGTAAAAGTAAATAACCATTTTACTGAGACACACGAAAAGCAATCATTATAAAAATAGTAATAATAATAAAAAAAAACTCCTACAATATTAAAATATCTAATTGGCCAACCTCAATATATAAGTCAGAACAATATATAAAAAGAACAAAATAAATTTAAGTTATAGTAAATAGTATTAGACTGTAGGTTTAGAGTTTATTTTCGGTTATATATCACACGAATTAAGATTGGTGTGAAAAAAGTGAGTGTGCAGAGTGTGTACGTGCATTGCGATTCTTATACCGTTCCCGAATCCTGACAACCTCTTGTATTTTATTATTTTTTTTTTTTCAAAATATATTTTATTATTTGACATTATTCTAAGACTATTGTAACGGGTCGTAGTTTTTTCTCAATACAAAACAGTTTTTTTTTTTTTTTAAATATCATAAAATAATTAATTTTTTATAGCTCTGTTGTTATTTCGTTTATAGCCTGTTAATAAATTTTAACTGTCTAAACTTAATTTGATCCTTTTAAATTGCATTTATGCTACCTAATCTTTTATTTATTATTATTTTGTTAACCACGTTAATTTCATGACGGACTTTTTGAATGGGCGGGCATTAATATAATATAATGATAGTTAATTATTAGTTGTGTATTGGTAAAAATCATTTAGTTTTTAATTTTTTAAATGGATTTGGTACTAATATTTCAAAATTAATATTATTTAATATATAGGTATGTAAGATGATTATATACAGTATAACACTTGATGATCATACGTACAACATAGATTTATGTAAATGTAAATATTTATCTATTCCACTTAAAATGATATGTAGTTTAAGAATTAATTACAAGTATAGTTGGTACAAATCATATTGATGTTTTAGAAAAAATTATATCTAATAACTTAAGCTGAATACAGTAACACTTAAAATATAAGATGTAAATAAAATTTAACTTAATACGTTGACATAATCTACCATATACTATATAGTTCCAAATTCGTCTATAAAAAATAAAAATATGATATGTATAGGTACGTCCCAAACAAAAATTGTTTTTTGTATTACATAGTTATAGCGCGTCCCAGTGAACTGCACTCACCATGACGTGAATGAGGCAGTGAATGGGTTAAGTATATAACAACATTTTGTTATTTCTTTATTTTATGTTTTTAAATTTTATGATATCATGATTTATATATAATTAGATGAATACAATTATATACGGACGCAGTCGAACGGCCAACAAAAATGTAAACGAATACATTGAAGGACACACTTGAGCGTATTTAAAAAGTCAAAATTCTTAAAACCAGACGTACTCGGGAGACGCCGATTCCATCTCGTCCCTTTTTTTTTCAAGCTAATAAAATAATAATCAAATACACATAACATACTTTGGTGACGCGGTACACGGAACCTTGGAACCTCTGGCCGCGGGATTCGGCCAGTTCGCGACCCGCCTGCAGCTTGATCTTGACCAGCTCGGCAGGGCACAAGACCACGGACGAGAACAAGGAAGCCGCGCATCCGGGCCGGCCATCGTCCGGCATAACGCGTCCATGCTGGCTCCAGGCTATGCGCGGCCCCGCGCTGGCACCGTAGCTCGGCTGCGCAGAGTTCTCGGCCACTCCGGCCATGGCGGCCGAGGACGTGCGTACACGGCCCGGCGGACTTCCGGTACGTGTGCACCAGGCATTGAACGTAGGCCTGTACGAGGCCGCGAACGTCTGCAGTCTTGACCGTGTCCAGCGGTTGGCCGACCAACACGACGCCCACGCCGGCCAAGGCGAACCGGCCAAAGTCGGACAGGCTGCTTCCGCCACCCCGTCGGCGTTTGGGTCCGCCGCCCCGCAGAATCGCTGGCATGGTTCATGTCGGGACCGATGTGTGGCGAGACGGCGCTTGTTTATGCGAGACGGACGTTGGAGGTTGATTATTTATTTGTCGAGTTCGACGTTTAGGTGGGTGGCCGATCGGAAGTTGACTCCGTCAAGTCGATGTCGATGAAAACGTTACTGTAACGCCGACGTCGGTGTTATTATATTATAATAATTGCGCACCGATGGTCCTTTTAACTGCTCACAAACCGAGACATGCGTCAGGTGTTAGATAATGCTGATTGTGATCCGAACTCTCAGCACCGCCTAATTGACTTCGTCGTCTTTGTTGTTTGTTTTCGTTTATTAATTTACAACGTATAACATAATATCAGTACAGGTAGTGCATATATGGTGCCGTAGAATATCAAGTTCATGCGCGTGATAACGAAATCATGCTATTTTATTCGACGACCATGAACACTTAATCACTGAACACTCTTTAAAAATAGTTTTACTTATAAATAGGTATAATTGTGAGCATTTACTTGCTGATGAGCAATATATAGAATGTCGCGTAACTTGTCATTGACGCTCTATGGCAATCGTATTTACT